TTGTGAGGATATCATCTCAATCGATGACATTTAGCAGGACCCAAACCTTTCATGATCAAATATTTCATCCCCAATATATTTTATTCAATTTGTTTCTTCAACTTAGTTAGTGTTTGTCGGTCATGTTTTTCAAATAGGTGCATATACAAGATGCAAAACATGTCAAATGAATGAAAAGGCACGTAAAACAATAAATTATAAAGAAAATTAGGCCAAAGAAATGAGTAAGAAAGGAATCAGGGGAACGCGGGCCAAACTACTTAATTTTGGCAGATTTTGTTGCCATATGGGAGGACTCATCGCTTATCGTGGATTTTTCATTGCGATTGAGAGCATCAATGTACCACTTCACCGACGATCGTGGGTTGAGACATCATGATTGGGATCTAAAAAATTAACCTATCGCGATTGCGGGATGCAACATCACGAATCGGGAAAATAAATTAGCCAAAAATATATTTTTCACTTTGTCGTTTCATCAAACTGGTTATGAGCAACAATGTTCTCATGCCATTTTTCACACAACTTAAGCACCAATTTTATCCATTTCCAGTTAACACCAAAGATTCAACAAAACAATCAAACAATACAATCCACAAAAACTCAAGATTTCAACATAATTTACGATCATAAGCGTATGGGTGAGAATAACCCATTTTCACAAACTTTCCAATTTCAAAACTAATCAAGATACAAAGGAGGAATCATACCTTGAGGTAAAAATCATTTAAATGGGGAAGAATTTTGCCAAAATTGAGCAAATCACTTGATGTTTTGAGGGGGAAGAGTTTGGGATAGTTTAGGAGTTGAAATGGACGAAATTAATATTAAAATACTAGCGCATTTTTAACTCATACGAGTAATTCGTGCACCCCGAACTGCTCCTTCGCGATCGCGACAATCAGTTTTTTGTTCTTTTCACGAATGCGGGCCCCACGCTCTCGCGATCGCAGTCACTTAGGTGATAAAAAGATTACTACTATACTTGCTGGAAGCTACTGTCAAATTTGGGCCCAATGGCAAGTCAATTGAGTGATTCGGCCCAATCAACTTTGTTGAACATAGTGTTCCAAAAGTGTTTCAACTCCTATATTAAAGGTGTTTTCACCCCAAAATTCAATCTCAATTCTTTTTGTGCTTCTAAACCTGTCAAAAAACAAACCATCACAAACTCTACAAACTATTGAGGTCTGGTCAAAAATAAAAAATTCTAAGCTATTCTAAAATTCAAAAACTTGAAATTAAACTAAGAAATAAATTTATTCGGCTATTAATGGGTTGGCCCTCCCATTAAGCGCACAATTTAGCATCGCGGCACGACGCTGGATACATTCACCTCTTATGTTTCGACATCGGGACAATGAACCTTCTCCATTACTTAAGAATCAATTTCTCTCCAAAATAGCTTGGGTAGTACATGAGAGCATCAAGAGTTTCACTTGATCTCTCCACTTTGAAAGACTTTGAATTTCTTACCCAACTTCAAATCATTTTTTTGTTTTGAAGAATTGAGAAAGAGTAAGAAGCTCACTTGGCTATTTGAGAATTAACTTTCATAGTCATTGGCCCCCAAGTGAGTAAGGGCATCTTGGGATGGTATTGGCTTGATCGGTTAAATACACCCAACATCTAATTTAATGATCATCTAAACCCATTCTTCCTCACAATAAGGACATGAGCTATCATCCTAAGCTTTACAACCCCAAGCATTTTATTTTTATCAAAAAAAGTTATAGAACTTAAAGCAAAAACAAAGTAATTGAAAACTATTCACAGTTTAGATAGAAATAAGTAAACTATATTGTAACACCCGACTTTCCGAAACGTCTAAACTTACTCGTATCTTCCATGGAAAGACAAGGAGGGTGGGTATAAATTAAAATGATGTGGTATGTCCTATTTTAAGTGTTCAAGTGTTGCATCTCAAGTTTTGAAGTTAGGTAAGTGGCAAAATAAAAGTTGGCGGAAGTTATCGTAAGTTCCTTCTTAAAGATTTCTCTGAAATTTGGGTCAAATGTCTTGGAGGTTTTCTCCCAAATATAAAGAGTTATGGGGCCCACAAACTATCGAATCGAAGGTCTACGAGTCTAGTTTCCAACGCATCAAACCGTTTGTTCATACGACTTCAGAATAGAGAGATATTCACATTTTCGTGACTGCACAAGCAAGCACGTGAGGTGGGGCCCTAGGTCGGTGGAAAGTGATATATCTTCTTCTTCGAAGTTTTTCTTCATTTTAAGCTAATAACCAGAGAAATTAGAGAAACCCATTTCTAGGATCAAGTGAAATATAGATTTTCTCGACTTAAGTCCTTGACGAAAGTTGTTCTACGCGTTGGGCTCATCATCGTGGTATAATTTGTTTTATCGATTTCGTAGCATATCACACTTTAGTGTTGACAGCAAGGGTTTGAATATATTTGAAGGTTTTGAGGCGTATTACGAACCTAAGATCGAGGTAAGACCCTTCTTTCATCGACTCTAGCTTTTATAAGCAGCAAATAGCAATTTGCGACGGAAATACATATCTTTTATCGTATTGTCATGGTATCTTTTATTTTGTGTGTGATTATGGTCCTACCTGTTGTAGTATCGAGGGAGTTATGAGTAAAGTCGTTAGCCACGTGAATTTAGCGAAAAAGGTATGTTAAGGCTATTCCCTACTTACGACATGTTCCTTAATATACTTAATATACTTGTAGCGTTATTGTTGATTATTGGCTGCTCGAGTTGATTAATCCTCCCTTGTCGGGTTCTTATTCATTTAGTAGTGTCCCTATGTTGGACACGACTTAAAGGCTATTTGTACAGGTTGCTTATAACTAGATTGCTCGCTTTTAACGATTTGATTGTTATTGTTTGCCCTTGAGGCTATTGTGATTAGCTGCAGGAATGGATTTATGCCTAGAAGGGCTATGTTCTGCCTACGGGGCCATATGGATAACTAAAAGGGCTATATTGATTGCCTAGCAGGGCTATGAGTTGCCTACAGGGCTATATTGACGCCTAAGAAGGCTATGAGCTTCCTACATGGCTATGTTGTTGCCTAAGAGGGCAATGAGTTATCTATAAGCTATGTTGATACCTAAGAGAACTATGTGCTGCTATGGGGCTTTATTAATGCCTAAGAGGGCTTTGTGATTGCCTATAGGGCTAGGGGACTATCGATAGGGTATATAGACTGATTGGCACCTTCCGGGCTTATGTGGGCCTGAGTAGGTGGTCTTGTGTGCTGTTTGTACCTGCCAAGCTTATGAGGGCTCTGTTAGGTTGTTGTTTTATTATTTTTGATAAATTTAGATTTATGAGCAGGTCAGTACACTTATCTTATCTTCGATTTATTTATCTGATTATTCCAGTATATTAAGATACTTGATCATAGCCTATTGCCTTTCATACTCTGTACATTATTTTTTACTGACGCCCCATTGCCTGGGGGCACTGCATTCATGCATGCAGGTCCTGACAGACGACTGAGTAGACCTCCTCAGTAACAGGATTGACTTCTATCCGTTGGCTAGCCCCTTTCCTCCGGAGCTGCCAGTGTTTGGAGGTTTGTTAGATTTTATTGTACATATTTTTATGGGTAGGCTGGGGCCCTGTCCCGCCAATCGTTAATATCTTAGAGGCTTGCAGACTAGTGTGTAGGGTTTATAACCACGTTATGGCCATGCTGGCCTAGTTTGTTGGTTTGCTGAAGCTTGTTGGTTGTGTGATGCGTTGTCTTGTTATATACATGCTTTCAGTTTTGGTATAGAGATCATGGTGGCCTTGACGGCCCAATCAGGACTTCTGTGCTAGTTGACAATTTCTTTATATGAACTCTTGCGAGTAGCTGTTTCTTTTGTAGATATGTTGATAGGGGCCTTGCCGGCCGAGGGCTTAGTTTTAAGCCGAGATATACTTGTTTGTTTTCTTAATTGCATGTGACTGCTATGCGCTAGTAGCAAATGGTTCAGCAGGGTCGGCTCGGGCCTGAGTTTTGGCATTAGGAGTTAGTTGCGCCCCTTAAGTTTGGGGCGTGACAAACTTGGTATCAGAGCAACGTCATATCCTAGGGAGTCTGCAAGCCGTGTCTAGTAGAGTCTTGTTTATAAATGTGTTGTGCACCACATTCGATTAACAAGAAGCTACCGAACATGTTAGAATGACTATCCTTCTTTTGCTCACCTCGTCCTATAGAACGGTGTCTTAAGGGTGGATGTTTCTGGTTTATAATTGATTTTTGCATGCAGATAGAGATGGCTGATACCAGACAGACTACCAGTAGCCAGGGACTAGATACAACTCCAGGCGAGGGTACTGGCAAGGTACCACAGGTGGAGGCAGCCAATTGTGAGACCCAGGGGGAGACATCTTCTCAGCCCCCTATAGCTTCTCAACCGCTTCATGAGCCTCCGAGGGCTACAAGACCCCCGGCTCCACCAGCAGTACCACCTCTAGTCCCTCCTATTCCATCTGATCAGGATTTCAAGAGTGCACTATATATGTTAGCACAATTAGTAGCTTCACAACGCCAGCCAGTTGCGCCAGATGTTGCCGGACCTTCTGAAGGGCCTGGAAGTTCGAAAGTTCGTGAATTTCTTGCCTTGAATCCTCTACAGTTTACAGGGACAGATCACAAAGAGGACCCTTAGCATTTTGTTGATTAGCTTCATAGGATCTTCAGAGTCATGCATGCCTCAGCGACTGAGTCAGTTGAGTTAGCAGCATTTCGATTGCGTGATGTTGCAGTATTTTGGTACGAAAGCTGGGAGAGATCTAGGGGAAAAGATGCATATCTACCCACTTGGGATAGCTTTGTAGAAGCTTTCATAGATCACTATTTTCCTCGGGAGATTAGGGATGGCCAGGTGGACCAGTTTCTGAAACTCCGACAGGGCAGCATGAGTGTCCGAGAATACGGGCTGAGATTTGATTCAGTGGCTAGATATGCACCAGCATTTGTTGATACGATGCATGACAGAGTGCGTAGATTTGTGGGAGGGCTTGACTCAAACTATATCGACGTTGTTCTACTGCTGCACTAAATGATAATATGGATATCTCATGAATTCAGGCCTTTGCCCAAGGCATAGAAGATCGCCGACATCTACAGTATATGACTGAGAGGGTCGATAGAGAGAGACAGAAGAGGGATAGGCCTGCTGGTTCACATGGAGACGTTCAGGGTGGTCCCAAACCTCGATATTCTAGTAGGCCACCTAGACCTCCACCACAACAGTTCTAGGGTAGTAGATTTTATAGTCAGGGACAGTCAGGCCTAGGTGAGGGTTCACGAGCATCAGACTCTCATCAGTAGAGATGCTCAGGCCAGGCTAGGACAGCACCGTTGCGTTGCGCAACTTGTGGTAAGATGCATTTCGGGAGGTGTAAACAGGGTTCCACAGGTTGTTATTCTTGTGGACAGGAGGGGCATGTGTGGAGAAACTACCCGACCATAGGTCAGGGTGGTATAGGTCAGTCGACCAGGTTAGTAGTAGGTTCTTCTTCATCAGCACAGTCTACAGGGCGTGGACCCCGGACTTAAGCAGGTAGAGGTAGAGGCATAGGCAGAGAGGGAACATTTAGTTCTAGTAGTGGCCAGAATCGTACATATTCACTAGCCGGTCGACAGGACTCAGAGTCATCACCAGATGTTATGACAGGTACATTGATTGTTTGCTCTCATTGTGTTTATGCTTTGATAGATCTTGGATCTACTCTGTCTTATGTTACTCCATTTATTGCGGGGAGGTTATGTATAGTAGCAGAGTCATTAGATCGACCCTTTATTGTATCTACCCCAGTTGGTGAGTCTATTGTTGCCAAGAGAGTCTATCGAGGTTGCATGGTAGAAATTATCGACCGTCAGACCTCTGTAGATCTCGTAGAGTTAGAGATGGTCGATTTCGACGTCATTATGGGTATGGACTGGTTATCGTCTTGTTATGCTAATGTTGAGTGTCGAACAAAGATTGTTAGATTCCACTTTCGAGGAGAGGCAGTTCGGGAATGAAAAGGCATTACAACAACGCCGAAAGGTAGGTTTATTTCCTATCTTAAGGCGAGGAGTATGATTACTAAGGTTTGTATTTATTATCTTGTTTGTGTTCATAATATAGATGCAGAACCACCAGCGCTTCTGTCTATTCCGGTAGTTAATGAGTTTCTAGATGTATTTCCAGACGAACTTCCTGGTATCCCTCCAAAACGAGAAATTGATTTTGCTATCGATATGCTACCAGGTACACAACCCATATCTATCTCTCCTTATAGAATGGCTCCTGCTGAACTAAAAGAGTTGAAGGATCAGCTGAAAGACTTGCTGGATAAAGGCTTTATCAGACCTAATGCTTCACCATGGGGCGCGCCAGTGTTATTCGTGAGGAAGAAAGATGGCTCACTAAGAATGTGTATCGATTATCAACAGCTGAATAAGGTGACTATAAATAATTAGTATCCCCTTCCGAGGATCGATGACTTGTTTGATCAGTTCCAAGGTGCTGAGTGCTTCTCGAAGATTGGTTTAAGATTAGGTTACCACTAGATACGAGTTCGGGAGAAAGACATTCCAAAGACAACTTTTAGAACTAGATATGGACACTTTGAGTTCTTGGTGATGTCTTTTGGATTAACTAATGCCCCACAGTGTTCATGGACATGATGAATAGTATATTCAGGCCGTATTTAGACTTGTTTGTGATTGTATTTATTGATGATATTTTGGTGTATTCACGTTCAAAAGCTGAGCATGCAAATCATCTGCGAGCAGTCCTTCAGGTTCTTCGAGATCAAGAACTTTATGCAAAGTTTTCTAAGTGTGAGTTCTGGTTGAACTCTGTCGCTTTCTTAGGCCATATTGTATCAGATGCAGGTATTGCGGTTGAGACACAAAAGTTTAAGGCCGTAAAAACTTGGCCCAGACCTATGACTCCAACTGAGGTTCGTAGTTTCTTGGGGTTAGCTGGGTACTACAGAAGGTTTGTAGAGAGGTTTTCTTCACTTTCAACACCATTAACGAAGCTGACTCAAAAAGCAGCTAAGTTCCAGTGGACTGAGGCTTGCGAGCATAGTTTCTGGGAGCTAAAGGACGGTTGACATCAGCACCAGTTCTAGCATTGCCAGAGGGTTCAGAAGGCTATGCGGTGTACTGTGATGCTTCTGGGGTTGGGTTGGGATGTGTTCTAATGCAACATGGTAAGGTTATTGCATATGCTTCAAGACAGTTGAGGAAACATGAGAAGAACTATCCGACCCATGATTTAGAGCTAGCTGCAGTTGTGCATGCATTAAATATCTGGAGACACTATCATGTTGACATCTTCACAGATCATAAAAGCCTTCAATATATATTTAGACAGAAGGAGTTAAATCTGTGACAACGTCGATGGCTTGAGTTACTGAAGACTACGACGTGGATATTTTATATCATCCAGGAAAGGCAAATGTGGTAACCGATGCCCTTAGTCGAAGATCTATGGGTAGTTTATCCCATTTAGGTGTTGAGAAGTGGGAGCTAGTGCGAGAGCTTCATCAATAGCTAGCTTGGGAGTCAGATTGTTAAAGGCAGACGATAGTGGGGTCACAATTCAGGATACAGCCGTATCATCTTTACTTGTAGAAGTAAAATCACGGCAACAAGAGGATCCTAGCTTAGAGCAGCTTAGAGCCAAGGCACAGGATCAACAGTCTTTAGCATTTGACATAGCAGGAGATTGAGTCCTCAGATATAACAGTCGATTATGTGTTCCGAATGTTGCAGGGCTTCGACAACGAATTATGGAAGATGCACATCATTCCCGTTATTATATTCACCCTGGTTCGACGAAGATGTATCATGATATTAAAGAGATCTATTGGTGGCATAGGATGAAGAAGGACATTGCTGAGTTTGTAGCGCAGTGTCCTAACTGCCAACAGGTGAAGGTTGAGCACCAAAAGCCCGCTGGGCTAGTTCAGGAGATAGCCATTCCTTTATGGAAGTGGGTAGCAATTAATATGGATTTTATTACAGGATTACCTCGATCGCATCACAAGTTTGACTCTATTTGGGTAATTGTTGATAGACTAACAAAATCAGCCCACTTCTTACCAGTCAAGGCTACTTTTTTAGCCGAAGACTATGCAAGGATCTATATTAGAGAGATTGTTAGGCTACACGGTGTCCCAGTATCTATTATCTCTGATAGAGGAGCACAATTTATCGCCAATTTCTGGAAGTCCTTCCAGAAAGGATTAGGGACACATGTTAATCTCAGTACTGCCTTTCACCCTCAGACAGATGGTTAGGCTGAGCGAACAATTTTGACACTCAAGATATGTTACGGGTGTGCGCGCTAGACTTCAAGGGAAGTTGGGATGACCACTTACCTCTTATTGAGTTCACATACAATAATAGTTATCATTCCAGCATCGGGACGGCAGCTTATGAGGCTTTATATGGGAGAAAATGTAGATCCCCCATTGGATGGTTTGAGGTAGGTGAGTCAGGGTTG